TCTTTAAACAAAACGATAATGTTTTAATACGTTCTCAAATAGAATCAACCATTATGTATCAAGATGTGGTTAATTCAATTTTATGTATATACATGTATTGTTTATTTGTGTTAATTTACTCTTAATTTGTTCAATTCATGTTTCTATGTAGAATTTCTTTTTACTTCCATAATTTGCTGGTTTAAATGTGTTCAACTTGCGTTGAGCAAATTTAACATAATTTTAGTTAGTATTCAATTCAATTGGACTTGCTTTTTTAATGGTAGTTTTCATTCAAAAATATATACAGTTGCAGGTGCTGGTAAGCTTTTTGTGTTTCAATTATAGGTAAACTATGTCAAATTGCTTTCAATTCAGTTGCATATACTTTGGAATTGATGTTTTAATAAATAGAACTTGTTTTATGTTTGAAATCAACTTGAACTTGTGTTTAGACAATTTCAATGCGTAGTTTGTGCTTTATCATCATTTGTTGCTTGTAAGACTTAAACACAATTTAACTGATTTTAGATTACACATATTCTATATGTTCTAATTATAATTTGTTCTCAAAATATTCTTACACGTAAAAAAGTTCTTAACTAAATGTCATCTAATTGTTTTACTTCACTTTTAACTTGTATTGAATTCATGTTTTGAATTGGTGCTTAATTAAATACAATGTGTTTTTAGTGTTTACATTTATTCTCAGTTTGTTTTGAGACAGTCTGATCGCTCCGTTCGGGTCGCGATGCACTTGTTACTGAAAACCATTAACCAAAAAAAAAAACGCTTTGGGCACCTCGTTCCAGAAGGTCAGCGAGGTGCCTTTCCTCCCTGCGCGGCCCGTCCGTCCAATCCGGTGCACCTGAGACGATCCGACGGATCCACCGCTACGCGGCGTGAGCCACGAGCGAAAGGACCGGGAGACCGGGGGTGTTCTGAATGTCTTGTACTGATGCCATACCCCTGGCTCATAGATCCACACTCACAATCAGTGAGGATCTAAAACAAGACCCAAGCATCCAAGCATCCAAGGCCCCATCCTGGAAAAAGAAAGAAACAGCAAATCTCATTAAATCTCAGTGCATTTTGTAGTCTCCAAGCACCCGATCTCCACACCCGGAGACCACACCAGGTGTAGAGATCAAGAAAATAGGGAAGATTGTGGATTCTGAACAGCCGGTGGATCCACACCAATATGTAGTAATACATACTTACTGATACCTTGCGCTTGGATCTCGCAAGCTAACCCACATCAAGCGCCCCTCCACCTCCATCTTGCGACCCGACCTTTCCTGCAGGAACGTGATTCCGGGTTTTCTGTACATCGGCCGCCCTCGGCGACCCATGCTGGGCCTTTTTTTGGAAACCCGCAGTGCATCGCTACAACCCTTTCAGGAACGTGCATGGGACGTCGTAGTTTATGAAACAGACCGGTCCATCGGGTGTCTATTTATATATAATGGAAGGAACATCAAGGGGACATTGATGGTCTATTGTTTATCGACAAGATTATACAAGCTAAAAGAGACCATCCAAAACATGTTCCTGATCATTGCTGTGTGATTGCCAGTCCAACGCTCCCTTTCACATTGACCTCGCATGAAGCAGTATTAGTCAGACGCGTGATGCCAGCGTATCCCGGAACATCCTCAAAAAGACTGGTCATTGAAACGTTGGCGACGCATGGTGCAAGTACGGCGAAACTCCCGAGTCTGATATTAACGCTAGGAGCGATCCGACGCTACTAGGGGCGCTCCTGGCCTTACTACTAGTAACGAGAAGCTACTGGTAACAAAGGGCATCGCTACTAGGAGCAAGGACGCTACTATTTGTATAATATGATATATAATACCTGCAACTTGGTGGTTGCATTTTTGGGCGCTAGTTCAACTTACCTTGATCTAGGTCTGTGAACAACACAAACATCCACAACCGAAGATATAAGGCAATGACTAAATGACTCAAAACAATATCTTAAGCTGTTGTCAGTGCGAACACCGCAGAACCCAGCATCGAGGAGGAGTTGCCTCTGAATTGGCGAAAGAACAGGGTGTGGTCTGCAGCTGATCCAATCTGCTGGACTCGAAGAACAAGCCGTCAATGACGTTGACTCAACATGCTGCTATCAGAAGGACCTTTCACGAAGACTTGCTGTACAACGCTTGTCATCCAAAGGTTTAGGTTGTTGTAAGTTGTAAGCATGATATGGTCTGTCCAAATCAAGTTCCCAATAAGTTATATCGAGTTCAAAAGCTCGCACAGAAGAAAACTCAGTCGAGACTGTTTGAATGCCCATGGATGCATGATGGAATCTGACAAGAAAAGGACTGCAGATTGGATCGATCTGCATATCCCATGAAGCTTGCCACGATCTTGCCAGTGTATTCTCGGCCAAGCAGCAAAGCATTCCTTCTTTTGGGGCGAACTAGGTCGCACTGAAAATCGCAAAGACAACGTCGTGAGGTCCGAGGGGACCTCCACATCAGTCATCAAGAGAAAGCTGTACCAATACATACCCAGCCAGTGCAACTGCGCTTTCTCCCAAGTCTTGAAAAATACTTGCTATCAATCAAACTGGTTTACAAAATACCTGAAGCCGCAATCAACGGCAGAAATCGATGCTTCGGCTTCAAACTCATCCCAGAGTCCAATGCAGAGACTGCGGTACTCCTTTTTCTGGAGGTTGAAATGATCCCAGTTAGTTGCTAGTCGTGAAACATACCTAAACTATCCTAAACTCATCAAACCTCTCCAAATCATGGCATTGCACGTTGTGTCTCATACAAGAGCTAAGCAAATTTGCTGTTCTAACAGAATCAGACCAGCGTTTGAGTCCAAGTTGGAAAAACTTCTAACCAATGATCAGCTTAGGGATCCAATTCGGCAGTGTAGGAATTCAAAGAGAGATGGCCTCCAACCTAAGAGCGATGGCCTCCACCCTGAGAGCGATGGCCTCCAACCTAGAAGAGATGGCCTCCAACAAAAAAGAGCAATGGCCTCGAACCTAATAGCAATGGCCTCCAACCTAAGACCAATGGCCTCCAACCTAAGAGCGATGACCTCCAACCTAATAGCAATGGCTTCCACCCTAGTAGCGAAGGCCTCCAACCTAAGAGCGATGGCCTCCAACTTAAGCGATGGCCTCGAACCTAAGAGCGATGTCCTCCAACCTAAGAGCGATGGCATCCAACCTAAGAGCGATGGCCTCCAACCTACAAGGTGGATCCTTGAGATGTAAGACACCCAATCTCGCGTCACTGGCTGGCAGCTCCGGAGCATCCCGCGGATATTCGACGGGCTGACAGCGAATTTGGTGTAAAGTCTCCAGCCCTGAGGTATTCTAAGCTTATTTGTTCTGGCCAAGCTGAGTGTGGATGGGGAACTGTTACATGATGGATCTCCGAATCTACTATGATCTACTGGTCTTGCTATTTTTTAGATATACCCAAAGATCTGGAACAGGTTTGGCGGTTTCGAGAAAAGAGCTGCATGCGCATGTCCGTAGTGAGACTGAGCTCACCCAAGTAATCGATTGTGAGTAGGGAAGCACGAATGGAAATCACTGCTTGCGAGGGTGCGTTGGGGTCTTCTGTTCACCTCAAACAAGCTTTTGGATTCTTCTAATTCCACAGTGTCCATGGCAAACTATTTCCTGAGATATGGACTGTTTGTGGCACATCACGGTCCAAACACAAAGGCAAGCAAGCAACCAGGAAATGGAAATCCGAGTGACACAGTACGTTTCAAATTGGAAATGAGAAGAGCAAGGTTGGATGTAACAGATTGTTCCCCTTCCTGGAACAAACCTGGAAGGCACCAAGGCACCCCCTGGCGCTGGGGGTGGGGAGTTCATGCTTTGTAAAAGGGGCCTGGTCCATGTGGTAAAAGTGAGAGGATCCTTTTAGACTTGTTCCAGGCGTTAATAGGCTCGAAACATCTTCTTTGGTAGTTTTTTTTCTATTCGCTATTAGGTTGGAGGCCATCGCTATTAGGTTTCCTTTTTTCCTCTCCCTTTAGACTCGCAGGTGACATTGGATGAGTCTCGTTCCGCCTATTTTCACTCACCTCGGTCATGGCACAAGGTTGGGTACCCAGTCACCTTAGGAAAGCAAACATGAAATGAACAAGACTCATAGAACAAGATCATCCCAAACCTTGTTTCCCTAGAATATTGTTTTAGGTCGCACTCACCTGTGAATCATGGCCATGTGTTCAGATCTTGCTTCGTGATTGGAGACTTCTATACACAAAAGCTGCCTACGCACACTCGGGCGGGCAGGAAAATCTGCCTGCGGAACTCTTCAGCTTTCGGCTTGGCATCCGCTACCTTCAGCTTGCCTCGCCGATCTCGCTCTTGCTACACAGGGGCCCGTCTCTCCATACGGTTTCAGGTGGCTCCCGCAACAGAGCCAAACCCAAAGCATCTCGCAAAAAGATCCTTGTATAAACACATATGTACCTAGAGCCTGAGTGACCTCTATTTTGGAGGATCAACTATCCAAAATATGGTCTTTTCCTATCAAAACAGAGGTCACTCAGGCTCCAGGTATATATATATATTACTGTATATAAATATATAAACATTCATACACTCTGACGTTCCTGAAAGAAAAACATCCAGACAGTGTCAAGATGAATGTGCTGTGCTTTTCGTGGAAACCAACTGCTTGATTTGATTGGTCATAAAATGCACGTTCTGACTCCACCAGGTAAGGCGGGGGCCCCAAGGGAACCCCTTGGATGATGGTCCGTTCAGAAGGGAACGTTGGCAACCGTCTAATACTCGGACAAGCAGCAGAGATCCGTAGAATGAAGGTGGACAATGCAACAAAAATAGAACTTGTGATATCTTGTGATTATCTTTGGATTGGACTTATATCTACTTCTTGAACATGTTACAAGGCATGTGCCTGTTGAGTCTGTCATATGCTTCTGAAACATCTCCTGAAGCTCATTCACATGCCTTTTGTATCCTTTTGCTATGAAGGGCCGGGTGTCAGCGAGGAGCTGGCAAGCTACATACAAAAGCTGCCGTCATCATGCATGCCAGGTGACCTTAACTGGCGGGACGGTGGCTCATGTTGAGACAAAGCCGCCCAACGGCGGAGGCAAAAAGCAGGGCAGCCCTGGACATCTGCAAACGGGAAACTGCTGAGGTAGGAAAACAAATGAAAGCTCAAATTGCCAATACTTAAAATACCAAGGATACCGATCGAAAGCTAGTTCAAAAAGGAAGCTCAAGTTCGGGTCTGACAAGCAAGAAGACCCTATTCGACGGATTTTGTGGTAACCAGCAATACAACTCACCCAAATCACCCATGGGCCCACCCGAACACTTACGATGTTTATCATAGATCATCCTAAATTCATGAAATCCAATATAATCCAATTATGTTTGAAACACCGTTTTAGTTGATCAGCCCAACTCCGAGGTTCCACCCCCCCCAGTTCACTGGGCCGGCACCCCTTCAGTTCCTTCAGTCCACACCCGGTTCCCCCTCCGGTGCATCCGCACGCCGCGTACCCCCGGCCTCTTAGAGGTGGGAAACGGCTCCATAACTCGGTCGGGACGCGCCGTGGGACCGTGGGGGGGCGACCCGCCGTTGGTCGGTCGGTGGTGTCCAAAGCGCGTTTTGGGCTGGACTGTGAGGTCCGTGACATCAACATCACGTTCGAAGCTGAAGGGAAAGGTCGTTGATGTCTAAACCACTGGATCGATCTGGAGACCTGTTGATCACCTTACCCAAATGGTTCTTCTACACTTGGCATACCTCCTGGTTCTACACTCGCCCCACTCCAAACCTCTGCTTTTGACCTCATGAATGAGGCCCTTCACCTACTGACTCCCCCTTTTTGACACCACACCGATCTTTCACCAGTTTCATGGCGACGGCGTCCAAACAGCCGGTCCCTCAGCGTCCCTCAGCGTCCAGAACACGGGTGAAGGGGAGGTACCGGTCCCAAACGCAGCAAACACCCGTCCAGACTGTGTCCTGGCCTGAATGCATGGCCTGCCTGTGCTGGCTCTGCACCAGCACAAAACATCACAAAACTAAGTTCCCAGCCCATAGCCGGTACACCTTGCATCTGTTGCATCTGCATCGGCATGCAAACCTGGAAGCGCCAGGAATGCATCATGCATGAGGCGGGCAATATCTGCAGTCCTGAAGTGTGCACTGGACTGGAAATACAACTAGCCTCTTGTTCCTAATAGTAAGGCCAGGAGCCCCTAGTAACGTCCTTGCGCCTAGTAGCGATGCCAGGAGCCCCTAGTAGCTTCTTGTTCCTATAGTTTGGATCTTCAATGTTCAGAACAGTGCCCGTCTTCTGCGAGCCAAAATGTGCCAAGTAGACTCTGCTAGCCATGGACATCTAAGACTTCACTTTCGTATGGCTGCCCTGTCACCCCAAGAAACTTGGACCCTAGAGAACCTTAGAAAACTCTTTCCATCAGACTTTGACTCGCACCAAACACCAAAGGATCTACAAGCAGCTTCAAGGATGACATGTGCTCCCCCAAATTAACACACAGCAACCGATTGTTAGAGGAACTCAAATCTTCCATCTCTGGCAGCTTTCCATGTTAATTAGTTCAACTTCAGGGATTTTTTCACACCCATCAGGAAATCATTGACCATGAGCCTGGTATGGCCTAAAACGCGACACCGAGCAGCTTGCATCACGTTGCCAAAGACTTGACCGGGCATCTGCATGGTCATGGGTTGCATATTCCTCAGCAGTTGGTGTTCTCAGAGTCTTAGATGCCTTTGACTGGCTGTCCCTGCAGGCCTTGCTGTCTGCATAACTTGTTCATGTGTTTCCCAACATGTCCTTCACTGCAATCAAACACCCACACGTCAATTTTGTATTTAAAACCAAGACCTAACATATCCGCCGTTTCATTTCACCAAGATGCATCATCATTTGAGGCTGGCCCCCCATCTGCATCACCTGTGCATGCACGCCGTGGGCCTCGCTACGTAGCTGAGCCTGGTTTCGCCATGTAAGAGTCGTGCGGCCATACTGAGACATGCATACATGACTACAGGCAAGCATATGACTACAGGCAGGATCCATCACCACAACAGCTGAAACTCACCAACAAAAAAGTTGTAAAACATGATTTTGAAGCCTGCAAAAGTGTCGATATAGCAGAGCCAGTACAAGCCAGGAAGACTTGGCTGTTTCGGTTATGTATATTAATATATTCTTTCTTCAATGGCAAGCTGAGAAAAAAGCTGTTCCAGCACAATTGGGAGATGTTTGCCGGTGGGATGGACCTACGAACCACATCGAGAAACTCTGTTAAAACATCCCCAGCAGCAAAATGCATCGAAATTCCCTACAGATCCCTCACAAAAACACGGATTCATGGATCGATCTGTGAAAAGTCCTGACCCCACCTTGCCTGCACCTGGTAGAACTGGAAGTTTTCGTTGGCGGAGCCGCAGCTCACCTGGGTGAGACTTCAGGAGGGTCGGTGGCTTCACCGAGTGGAAGGACCATAAATCCAACCAAAAGAAGCGAAGATGTTTGATGACTTGTTCCATGTGTTGTTCAGAACAGCCTCACTGGCATGAATGGGCCAAGCTACGCTTTTAGGGTCCACACCTGGCTGTGGAAGAAAGAACTTCGTTGGTGGGGCAAGACTCGGACAACCAAACAAAAGGCAAGTAAACTGTGTTAGATGATTGAAGTTCTATCTTGGGACTTGAGTGACATGACTGACAAACACCTATGAGATCGTATCAGAAACCTTCAGAAACTGTACATCTGCAAGTGTTTTTGATTGCTGCTGTTCTGGCTGTTCCTGCTTTGGTTGCAGACTCTAGTGATGTTGCTCTGGCCTTCTATCTCATGACTCTGTCAAGCTGTTGAGCAATATTAACATGATCTAGGATAGTCTAGGCAGGGCATCCCATGTCTAAGCCACCATCTCTTATCCACTCATTCTGGCTGTGTCAGGCCCCTCACTATCGACACCAAATACCATGCGTTTGTGCTTTTGCTGGTCGCTTCTTTGAAGATAAGGAGCACAAAAGCTCGTGGCACCGCAGGTTAGGCAGGAACAGCACCTAAGTCCACAAAGGCCCATCTTCCGGGCTTGGCTTGGAGGGCTTCTCAACCCGCTGGGACGATCCGTCCATTTAATCCTGTTCTGCCGAGCACGAGTGCCTTCAAGAAAGTCTGATATATATATATATATACGTATACGTGTGGTCCGAAGACGATGGAAAGAACAGGATAAGAACGGATACCAACAAACCATGGTTTCTACCAAATGGCTACCCAGAAAAGTGCATCAAAGCAGGTCAGGCACACCACCACCTTTATTAAGGCTGCCATTCTGAGTTGTTCAACTGATAGTATGCATGTTCTACATACTCCTGCACCGCCTGAAACGACCACCCAGCGTGTGGGAATGTCCACTAGGATGTGACTTTGCACCTATTGAAACAGAATGGAACTAGAGAGAGCCACTGTCACAATGTCTTTCATTCTTGAAATTTGAGGAAATTTATCACGGTTCCCTTGACCAAAGGTGATGCAAACATGACCATCTAAGCAGCCCATCCGCTTGAATCGAAGGCTTGGGTTCCTGGCGGGTGGTGCTGGTTGTTGTTGCAATAACCCTGGCTCACCTGGTTTATGGCTCCTGGCCAAAGCAGGCCGCAGCTGGGTGGCGCAGGTGTCGTCGACACGACATCGGTAAGAACACATCGATTCCATGACACAGCTGTTTGAAGCGCATGTTGAAACCCAAAGTCACTTTTTCCGCCAATGCCTTCCCACATGTGTGGACTAAAATGGTTTACCAGTAAATAGGTGACCGGTGGAGCATGGTGGAGCATTCTTCTGCTGAGGCGTTGCTCTGTCTGCAACACCCTGATCCTTTTGCGGCAAGTAAAGAACCCAGCTACAGTGCACTCAAAAATTTTGGTGAATGTGCCAGGATCAGGGGATTGACACCCTATCTAGCAGCTAGCATATAAATAACCTCACAAAACGTCATGGCTGAATCATAATCCTTCTCTGACAGATCGGTATGTCTTTGGAGCTGTGCTCCTTCGGCTACTAAAACGACATAAGCCGGGCCTGATGCAGGCAAACTTACATTCTCTCGACTTTGTCCCGCTTGAACCACAAACATTGGCGTCCACTATCATCAAGCATTCGGCCATTGAAGGGGGGTGTCAAGATACTTCCAGTTGGGCTTGGTTGGCAGGCCAATCGGCCATTTTGGGGACCCAAAACGAAGGGTCGAATGGCTTCTTTCCCAGCCTGTGGCAGCCTCCTCTTTGGCTTCCACCTCGCTGTAGTCCGAGTCCTCGAAAGCAAACATCATGCTTCGTCCGACGGCGATGTCAGAGACGGTCGCCTCTGGCGACACGAACAGAAAAAGAAAAGCCAATCAAAAGGTGAGGCCGCGAGACACCAAAAGTGAACAGACCACCAAATCTTCAGATGTGGCACAGGGACCTTAAAATGTGGGATCTCTATTATATATATAATATACACATATAATAATATGCAACTCTTTGGTAGTCAGATATTTCTGTACGATACATCGAGGACCTGAACCATCATCGAACGTCTAGGCCTTCCGAGTGCATCCAAAACAACGTTTGGTGTGCTGATGCAGGCAGGACCCCCTGACAATATCCCGCAGTCTTCGTCTGATCAGACACCTCCGGAAATGTAATTACACGATATAATTGATGATAACTCATGACCATGGCCATGCAATTTCACCACTCTGGCTGTCCAGACTATCTACTTCAACTTTGTCATCTTTGACCCACATCAAGCGCCAGCTTTCCACTCCAAAACCCGCTCCAGCGCGCCTCGAGAGGAATCTTCGTGGTCGATCCCGCCGTAGAAGCGCCAGACCTTCGGGTCCGGGCCGAACGGGGTGGGCAACGACGTCGATGACCTGCGAAACAGGTGAAGATCACACTGAAAAGCAAAACGCATCTTTCTGAGGTTTCGACTCCACTGACCAATCGAAAATTATATATACATACACACATATAATACATATAGCTGTATAAATAGAGAGAGAATTAGAGAGAGAGGTCTCTCCCATGAAGGATGGCGACAAAACCCCCTGGCCCGTGCCACAACTGAGGCTTCCAGCTCATCACCCAAGGACAACTTGGCCAAGGCCTCCGCAATCTGCGCAGTCGCCTCCGCCTGAACGGGCCCGCAACCAGCACGATGTTTCATCCAGTCACCAGCAGCGGGTGTGCCTTTGGTGGATTTGAGGTGCAATAGAATGAGAACAAAAAAGGATCTCATCCATTGAAACTTGAAGAAACGGTGTGCCATATGTGATTGTTTCTCCACAACTTGACCGTGGTTCGATGGAATTTGGTCTGGACTGCAAGTTGTTCGCTTGGGGACAATGCGTTGGAAACCAAGCTTGGGAGCTGGAGATCCTGTCATTGCGGGTGCCCAGACGAATGTGTTGCAAGTTACAAGGGTCTGAGCCATGGAAGCAGCAACTGGTCAGCTTTGCTGGACTTGTGCCGGTCAACTGCAATTCGGGATGTTCAAACTATAACGTGTGTTTGTTCGTCCCTGATTCCTGCATTTCCCACCCCGGTACTACTGATTGCTGCATCGTTGAAGCTGAAACGATGTTTGGTGTAATGGAGCTGAGCATAGCCCGGTGTCAAAAGCCCTGGTGTCAAAAGGCTTCGATATCCCATTCAGATCCATTCTACCGATCTTGACCCCGCTCCTCCAATCAACATGAGCCCGCGTAACGACGCCATCCCACGCTCTTCGAGCCCTGAAAGGGCTTGGGTCATCCAACTCATCCTTCCCGATTCTGTGAGGGTGAGGTTGGGATCCATGTTCGCTGGGGATCTCGGACCACGGACAGCTTGAAAGTCAGCTTGGAATCAATTGAAGCAGGTTCATATAGATGTCAGTTCATAGAGACCACTCCTTCAGGCTTTCAGACCACTGGTTCAGCATAGCTGGCTCCGTTCCACACACATACACATACAGTAAAACGGCTGTGACGGCCAATGTGAGAAAGGAGATCCCCTGGTCCGGGGTGGGTAGACTGGTCGATTTTCCCGAACCGAACCCACGGGGTCGAATGGTCTTAAGATGGCACGTGCGCAAGGAGCGACGATCTCCCAACGATCTCCCTTCTTCAGAACCACACGAAGAAGCAAACACAAAAAAACATCCAGCAATCTGGTGGAAAACAGCCAGTACTGAGCTTCATGCTTTGCCTTTTCTCAACAAGGCCCTGTAACTCTGGGCCTTGGCCATCTCTTGCACCTCCATCTCTGGGTTCGCTTCGTAGGCTTCCAAGACGCGCAACGCGGAAGAGACTGCGAACCTGGGTTTCTTAGATGCGATGTTCATGTAGAAGTTTTGTGAACTCGTTTATTCGTGAATCTCTCCACCAATCCCTCCGTTCGAGTCGCAAATCGGACGGCTAACCTTCAAAGTATACAGGACTTTTGGCATGCACATTGAAGGATTGGTCATGTTGTCACTTGCAATGTTTGATTCTCCTATTAGATAATCCTTCTTCTGGACCGGTGATAGAATTTATTTTCTAAGCTTACGCAAAAACTGACCTGCCAAACTCGAATCTGCTAGACATACGGATCGACTTACAACGGAGCTTTCGCGTTTCTGATCGTGAGGAACCTTTGGTGGTTTGCCATGTTGTCAATGCTCTGAAGCCAAGCAGCTCAAAGCCTAGAATCGTTGCGCGCGCGGAGTTCGATTCGAAGTTGATGGTCACACATTCTTGTTGAGCCTCGGCAGCTTGTGGTCGAAATTGGAAAAAATTGCCTCCCCTATTGCATGATGTGGTCTGTGTGGAACAATCATAGTACTGTGAAAAGGGCTCATGATTCATAGGGGCTCCCCTCTCGATATCCTGTTTGTATTCTTATCACATATCATATCCAGGAAGAAAAACTTCAGCTGATATGAAAAAACGATACCAAAAGGCCTTCATTTAGATAACAAAAGACGTCAATGACATATATTTGCATAAAAAAACACATATTAAATATATATATAGCATTACATATATTATGTGTTGTATTATGCATTTACATATATTTACATATATGTTATATGTCCATATATTTCCTTGTGTACATATTGCAAGAATGTTATGTTCGTTCTTTCTGAGTTGCCCCTTTGCTGTCTAGTGGCGCCCTGCCAAATCATATTGGACATCAAACAGGGCCCGATCTGTCGGGTCCAACGTGACCAACGATCTGTCGGAGACGAGACGAGACGAAACGATTTCGACACGGACCTCGGACCTCGGATTTAGAGGTTCAGAAGATGTCAAGTTGCACAATGTGTCTGTTTGTCCTTGCAGTCCTTCCCCGAAAAGGCTCTTTACCAACGTCATGAGCAAGGAGCAATCATCTGAATCTTTTCGCCTGAAGGCAAGGCAGCAACCAAGGTGAGTCAAATGTTCTAAGATTCCACTGTTCAAATCAAGGGCTGCAGTGGTGCGACACGATGTCAATCCATCCAACATCTATGCGAAAGCGTCCTTCTGCCAACCAGTGAGATCCTGCCCTCTGGTTCTCGCGCTTACGTTGTGGTACCTCCAGGTGACAGTTGGTGCCCTGAAGCGATTTATTGGATTCAGAACACCTCAATTCACGGGTAAGTATCCAACAGTTCAAAAGTTTGCCGGTTACCTGTTTGTTCTTGATATGATTTCATGTTCATGTTCTTCTTTATCACAGTTGTACCAGTTGTACTTGCCCGCCAAGTCCCACCACAAAGGATTTTGGTTCAGCCTCGCGTCTAACCTGATTAACCAGTGCCGCTTCACCAGTCCCCAGCTCCTGTGAGGTGATTCTCATCAAACTCCACTCGGGTCTCCAAGCACATCTGTTGAAACTCCTCGGCACCGGGGCCCACGGCGGGCGACATTCCTCGCGTTTCAGGCCGTGTCCGACTCTGTCCAGGCTCACTACTTGTAGCACTACATCACTAGATCCCCAAGTCTGGACATCGCAAGTGTCGGGTCACAGCGCATGGAAGGTCGGGTCGCAGTGTATCCATCTTGCAGATGCTAGCCAAGCAGCCAAGCTGAGACGTGAAGGTATATGTGGTAATGTGTATATATATATAGAAGGATTGAGCTGAAGGGTGTCTATATTTATCATATTATTTGTAGACTGTAACCGTACATGAAGTATTATAAAGTGTTACTATAGTCCTGGAACTGAATTAAACACCTGGCAGAAGATACTCAACATCATCATCGGAATCTCCCGCATGACCTCCCACCTACCTCCCAAACCTGGCCTCTTTCGCTCCCCCAACCTGCTCCAGTTCGCCCTCTTTCGGAACCCCTCCAACCCACCAGGTGGGGCGCGTCCAACAGCTGCGAGGCCGCCGCCACGGCAGCTTTCGGACCAAAGAGCCGGACCTGAAATGCGAGGGAACTGGAACTTGGAACCTAGCGAACCTACTTGGTGGTGTCTTTCTCGCTACGAACGTAGCGTCCAGGAGGAGCTACGTGACGCGTTAGTAGGGCGCGCTCTTCGGGCATCGCGACTAGGGAAGCTCCGGGCATCGCTACGAACGGAGCAAGGACGCTACTAGGGACATGATTTGCTTCTTAGGAGGGAGAGGAGGGAGGGAGGTCCATCCTTTTGGAGTGAATGGGACACCGACTGCAGTCGGTCGGAGATCGATCCGACGGGAGATGCCTGTCCGTTGAATGCTGAACAGTAAGTGGTTCCGCCATCCTGGGACACGCTTAAAACCGAAGAGGTGTTTAAACCGAAATCCGTGGTAAAAACGGTAAACATTGACCGTGGGAGTCAAAGACTACAAAAAGAATGGTCTGACTAGGGTGCCTGAAAGGGACTGTCCTTTACTTCACTATGGAAAAGTAATAGTCCTTGGACTTCCAGGGTTTATGTCATGTTTACCGTTTGCCGCGGGTCAAGGTCGAACATGTTACCACTTAGTTCAACGGTAAGAATGGGACGTGTGTCCCGCACTGCCCAGGTTCTCAGCCGAAAAGCACGGTACAGCAGGTTCTCTCTGTGAGGGTTGCGACTGGGTACCCGCTTGCAAAGCCAATGCTCGCGAAGCGGCTTACCATACGCCATACAACAAAAAGGCTCTCCCTCCATCCAGCCTCCTTGCTAGTGCGTTCAATGTGCACCCGGCAATTGCTGAGCTGCTGGATACGCTGCACCACAGAGCCTGGGACGCACAAAACATGTTAAGGAAAAGCTAACATAAGCTGATGAAGGACACATTGTTCGTGCACACCACATAGACTCAGAATACTTTCACATTCACCCTTGGCCTCCACCTAAGCTGCCACAGCAGCACTGCTCTTCGCTCAATGCGAGCGGGTGTGACGTTCCGAGCGGCTGCTGGCATCCTCCGACATGCGCGTGCGCATGAGCTCGGTCCAGGCCTAGGAGGGCGAGGGCGGAGGGCTTCTGGGTCGCCTGCTCCGTCAAGTTGGGGTATACCGTTTGTGAGGTGAACAGCACCACGGTGGTGGGGGAGCTCGTTTTTGGATGTGCATTCTTCAAGATCTCTTCATGCCCAACTTCTCAGAAACCAAAAACACAAGCTTCCTAAAGTCCTAAAGAAACCCTTGCAGCATTTCAACCACCCCTCCCTGGCTCCATCCCCACCACTCCCAGCAGAGAGGCTGCAGTGGGAATCTGCTTCCGCGGGCCGCCCAAGCATTCCAACTGCCTTTGCACATCAGCCACTTGTGCCTCTGAGCCGCACACCCTCAGCACGCCTGGCACGAAAACAGAGTCGCGGTCCACAATGGCGGACCCAAACTCGGGAGACCGACCGATTGACCTACCAGACATGAAGAGAAGGGTCTACCAGACATGATATGACATGATCAACCTCTCAAAGTTTACACCTCCAAATTTTGACCCACCAGACTGCCCAGAAGATTGCTTTTGAATTGACGTTCGAAGGTTGGCGTAGACAAGAAATCTGCGATGTCGGGGACCTGGATAAACACCCACGAGTTCCTGCCCAACAGGGAAACATCAAGTGACCAAGTGCAAAGTCCAGACAAGGCGATGGTGGACTGGTGGAGAAACCAATGACTGCCTACCGCCACTTGCAAGTGGCATGATGTGGCATGACTGTCCAGGAAAGCCACTATCGAAACCTCACAACAACCATCAACAGATCACATCGCCTTTCACACATCTTCTGAAGACCACGCACGACGCTCGCTCTTCACGAATCGGGCCTTGCTGACGGTCGAATTTCAAGTGCGCGCGGCTGCTCAGTTGTATCTCCTGGGTCGATGAGGTGAATCATTGCAGCTCGGCTTAGCCACCAGGTCGGACGGGAGACGAACGTGTTGTCAGGTTGGTCCAAAAGTTCACACCTAATCGATCCCAAACCACTATATAAGGAACCAAGGTTTCTAGATTCTAGGTCTACAGTTTAAGTCTTTGGAACCACTGGTTACCTACTACTATAGTAACTGGATCCACTGGGATATGCATATGTCATTATTTCTACACCGGTCCAAGTGGAAAATTCGACCTCGCGCACAACACAATGAAGGCCCTGGTGCACTCGACCTACTTTAGGCCTCTCAAGTTCACTCTTCTGGCGCCGAGTTTCTTTCAGACGTCGACGGCCACGGCGGCAAAAGGATGCATGGAGTTCCTGGGTGGACGAGGAACCAAGCGCAGACACCAATCAGGCACGTGCCGATCCCTGAAAAAAAACGTTACTTACTTCGAGTGCTCCCCCCCATGACATTTCAATCTGACAACTTGTCTGGCATGTATTGAAACAGTATTTGTTGCATTCTTTCTGGCATACCTTTTGACATTCATTCTGGCATAACTTCTGACATTCTTTCATTTGACATTCTTTCTGACATTATTTCCGGCACATCTTCTGACATTATTTCTGGCATATCTTCTGACATTCTATCTGGCAAATCTTCTGAAACTCTTTCTGGCATATCTTTTGACATTCCTCTGATATTATTTCTGGCCTATCTTCTGACATTATTTTTAACACTATTTCTGGCATATCTCCTGACATTCATGTTGGCGTATCTTCTGACACTCTCTCTGGCATATCTTCTGACACTCTTTCTGGCATATCTTCTGACATTCTTTCTGGCACATCATGCGCGTATCTTCTGATATTCTTTCTGACATTATTTCCGGCGTTCTATCTGGCATATCTTCTGACTCGCGGTTGAGGTCCAGCGGGGAACACTGTCAGCCGAAGCTCGCGGTTGAGGTCCGGCGGGGAACACTGCCGAGCGGAACTCGCGGTTGAGGTCCGGCGGAGAACACTGCCGTCCGGAGCTGGCCATAACTACTAGTAGCAAGAAGGTCATGGAGCTGAAAGGAGAGCTGCCTTCAGTGAAGCCCTCAGCTCCTTTGACTTTGCAACCCTCAAAGTGCACATGTCATGCAGTCTCTGGAGGGCTTTCAGATACGCATCTGTTCTGGAATCTTACCATAAACTCTCTTCCTCTTGGGCTCCAAAAACAAAATCACTGTTTGGACTTTAGGTCACCTGGTCATCCCTTGTAGTGCAAAAATGTTTGTCCCAAGCGTCGAACAGCTCCTATGCTTTTCAGGGCATCACCTATAAGGAAGGTACTAGCCGCTTTTGGTGCACGTTGAGTGAGCCCTTCAGTTCTCCTGCAACACAGAGGTTCATCTTGTTCACCGTTGCAGCTTTCAGTACCAGTAGGGAAAGCTCCCAAAAAGCTGAGAGCTCAGCCCCTGACTGGCATACCACATCCTCTGTCATTTGAACTCTCTTGTTGAAAAATGCATCCAAGGGACCGGATCTAAGTGGATCTCCACCATGTTACCGTGACTGACATCTCCCCAGTATCTCGAGTTGGTCATCGTCGACATCAACACACGCGCAGAGCCCGCCAAAGGCTTGAACCGTAGCAGCGGGGCAAGGCAGGGCTCAAATGGCTGGGAGTGCCCTCACAGAATGCCACAGGTGTCTTCGCAAGGCTGAGACACTCAAAAGTTTGCATTTGCCATGCGTCATGAAATATCATGAGTCATGTATGAGCTTGCCGGCTGTCTTGCTCACAAAACATGCACAAGACACAAGGGCGACTCCTGAATGGGCAAATGATGGTGAATCATGTCTTCAAATTCTCCCATCACCATATATATCACCATCATTCACCATCCATCACCCAGACACCCCGTTCAGCTGAACCGGGCGTGTGCTGATCCGCCCAGCTCGAAACGCGAATCCGCATCGAAACGCCCCGGGCCGCCGCACATAGCTTTCGACATCTCGCGCCTCGACTGTCGGTCGGTCGGCGGTCGGGGAACAATCGTCGAATTCCGACAGAGTCGGTTTTCGACTCAACACCCACCAAATTCCTGCCGTAGCGGTGAGGTTCGGAAAAAAAAGGACAGGAACCGCCTTTGTCTACGAAGGAGAATTGCAACACTATGCCTCAAGACTCAAATGTTTAATGTGCTTATTGCTTCTTCATCTGGCTGGCACTGAAATGCCTTGTATTTGCTCATCACACTCATACCCCAAAGAAGGGAATGGAATCAAGGTAATTATGATTTACATTGAATTACTTAGTGGCTCATTAGTTCATCACTTGCTGATTTCGGACTCAAGCTCCTCCACCGGGTCTTGCTTCCTCGGTCCACTATCGGCAGAGGTGCCATGTCCAAATTCACCACATGGGTCACATCTTTGATGTCCAAGCCTCTGGAACACACCTCGCTCGTGCGACCGCGCGAGCGACCCGGGTCGCGAGCCGATTCCGGGGTGTCAACTTGGTTCTTCAAAGACACCTTAAAGAAACATCGGATTCTCCGCCGTTTCGCGTCTTCCAAACTTCCGAACGGTCTGGAGTCGGTTGATTGGACGGGTCTGGAGCTTAGCCGGGACATGGATCATGACATGAGATAGTCACACAGTTCTTCTAAGAGGTCAAATGCTTGACGCACAAGAACTTTCCTGCTGGTCTTGTTTCGACTAACGAAAACAGTAATAAAAAAGAAAGGCTGCTTCTTGAGCAAAAAGGGAAACTTAAAGTTAAAGCAATAGCAAAAGCAAGTCTTAACAAGAGAATAGAATCACAAAGTTAGAACTGCTGAAGGTAGTGGTTTAGGGGCTGGGAGACGGCACCAAATCACTTCCTGATATGTATTATAATATATATATATATATCAATCATATACAGTGTAACTGGCATAATCAGCGACTCATGATCCAAACCTTGACCATCATCAGTCAAGGATCGTCAGTGGCAAACATCAGCCAGCATTCGCCTTTCGTAAACTTCTCCAAATCTCGATCCCGATCCTTCCTCAGAAGTTAACAAAAAAAAACCAGTCGTCATCAAAGTTGGGCTTTGACACCTACCTGGATCATTGAATGATACTGAATCTCTCCCCTTTGCAAGGAAAACACCGTTACAAGTGTACAAGTGTACAAGCCAAATCGAACGCTGACTCGTCACGGTTTTTGGAGCGAAAACCATGACCAGTCAGCTTCTCGAAGGCGTCCAAATCGGTGAGCAGGGGTTGGACCCGAAACTCCGCTGGAGAGGTGACGGGGGGCCCTGTCCGTTCGGACTTGGTTGCTGCAAGCAGCCTCAAACGGATTGGGCTTCTGAAACACCATGGTGTGTTTAAACTGGTCGTTTCACTTCTATAACTACCATCTTTCGGACCGTATGTTTCAACAGACAGGATCTGATGGGAACAGGACGGATTAACGTCACTTCAACGTCACCACACGAACGCTTCGGTCCGAAGGACTGGAACCAGCACGCACATGTTGCTGGACAGTCCTCCAATCGTTCAAACCCCAGAGTCCACGGAAACCTTTTTTTCTCTATCTATCTATCTATCTATCTATCTCTATCTATCTATCTATCTATCTGTCTATCAACCAATCAATCAATCTATCTATCTGTCTATCTGTCTATAATCCGTTTGTTATTTTGGACGGATCATATTGAACTCAAACAGAAGCCGAACATGACCTGAGAGGTTCCTCTCTTCTGGCTTCTTCTGGCTGCATGTTTATTTTTGTCCCGCCATCCAGGACTCCAAGAAGTCCAAGAAAATCCAAGAAGTCAGTGTAGTTCCTGAGACATCATGGACTTTGTACGTACCAAAACACCGACTAACCGCTTGGAGACTTCCCTTAGGCTGTTTTCCCCGTTCACGACTAAACCGACTCACCGACTCAGCTTCTGTGGCTTGTCGCCATGTAGGGCCACAGAGTCAAAGCCTTTGGACCAAAAGGTCTTCTGGAAGGAATCAATGCGCCTCACCAGCGTGGGGACGTTACCCGCAAGGTCCAAATGGGTTGGACCAATGGGTGGGAACTGGGAACTGCCTGGTCGGCGGCCAAGGCAGAAAAACCGGGGTCAACTGATCGAAAAAATGATCGATTCGAGCTTGGCAGGTGCCCATTCGAGATGTGGAGAATGCACATGGATGCGCATCCATGTCCACATCGATGCAAGATGGACATGGATGGACCATTTCTTTCCTTCATATTTGCAAGAGCTGCAAGCTTCGAAAGACCCTCAGAAAGAAGATCAAACAAAAAGACACATCAAAAGGGATTCAAAAGCTCCTGCCTCTTGGTATTTGCAAAGCAAATCGCCTTGGCATCATCGCTCAGGCCGCTGAGGATTTGCCAAAGCTTGTCATCCTTCTCATCGTCACCCAAGCGGAAGAACTCCTCCGTCGGCCGAGTCGCTGGCCCCACGGCCAGAGTCGATGGGCCTGGTTTGGGCCAATTGGTGTTCGTTTTCCTGGAGGGGGCCCTTGAATATGAATGAATCACTCTGGAGAGAATGGCACAAAAAAAGTCGACATGGCCAAGAGATGGCAAAATGAAAAGCATATTTGGGAAGTAGAAGAACGAAAACACCAAGGACAACTGGCTTGTCTGTGGATTCCTATTGGTGCTTAGAAGAAATCAGGGAGATGTCTGGTAGTACCTCCAACCTAGCGATGGCCTCCAACCTAAAGGGACCTAAAGGTCCAGTGAAGGTCGAACCAATCACAATCACAGGCCGTGCTCCTGACTCACCGCTTTATTCGCCGCCAACTCCTCAGTCTCTCCTACGTTCACGTGCCTTGGCTCGGAACAAACCAGCGTTCATGCGCCTTCGAAGCGAAGCGGAACGTGAACCTTCAGAGTTGATGCGACCTATGTACATATCTGCATTGTATAGCAAAACTAGATCAAACATGATCAAACGTATCCTTGATAAACTCACATGATCGGTTTCATCACTATGCCGTGGTGCTAACAAAAGAGGAGATTGCCAACTATGCTGCCGTGAATAGGTGTTGCAGCAACCGCCTGGATCCCATGACATGTTGGGACGAATGCACAATCACTTCCTGCCATCATCTACTATACATAGACCCAATAGATAAAGTGGATCCCCACTAAAAATGTATTGGAAACCGTATCTTTACTCATTTCTATCTATTTGGGGATCACTATACATTGTAAGGCTAGATTACCTTCAAGCATATCCGTTGGCATGAATCACACCAAGTGACATGTAGTCTTCCTTCCTTGCCAACACGCCGGTGGCGAGGCTCCAAAACAAGGGCACGGCACCCCGAAACTGTGAAAGGAGAAGATTGTAAGGCACTTACCACTAGCTTCTTGTTACTAGTAGCGTGGCACGTGTTTCTAGTAGCTTTTGCGAAATCGCCCCTAAAATCGCTAGCATGAGACGTCGATAGCTACTGTAATATATTGGGTCTATCCTATCTGTAACAGTGGATGATGATGGTTAGTAAAGGCCTTGTTCAAAAATAGGATAATAGTTATTTAATGACTGTTACAGGCAATAGGACAGACCCAATGTATATAATTGAGTCATGCAGCGATTGCCATGGATGAGGAGCTGCTCAAAAGTGGTTTTCTTTCCAAATTCACGAAAAAAACGAATCACAACGGGTTCCTTCTGAGATTCTGTTTCATGTCCTCTCAATCCAGCCAAAATGTGTCTTTGGACCCTCACCCTGTTAAGCCCTTACTCAAAACCAAAGCAAAAAACGGGTGGGCACGAATAATAATAGGTGGAGCAATCAACTATCAACATCAACTTAGTGGTGCAAAAACACCGAAAGAACACCAATCACCAATCATCGACTGATCACATCAACTCCAAACCAAACACATCCAACAATGAACATGAACAAACAAAGACAGAGAGAACACATCAAAACAAAAAACCTTTAAAAAAAAAAAAAAACAACAACAACAACAACAATCCAGTGACATCGAAAAGAACAAACGAAGCGTTCACATCTCTGAGCGTCAGGTACTTCTCTGCGATGCGTTTCACCGCCTTAGGCCACGTCGCCGTGAAGAGCAGCGTCTGCCGCGCTGGAGGTGCCTGCGGTCGGTCGAACCGACGGCGTCGGTCGACGGCGCGTCCGCTGGTGCGATTACCAGCGTCCGGAGTGGCGGTCAGGGTGAGATGTCAGAAATCTGTAGAGGTCATGTTGGTCATGAAGTAGTGTTTCTAAAGATCTGAGTATGCAAACCATGTTTGTATATGTCATATGTTATGCATTCCACTGCTGCTCTCTATGTTTTGACCATTTCTTCGGTGTTGGTGTTGAAGTGACAGGAAGTGATACCCCCAACTCCCAATCTTCTCAATCTGATGCAAACAAAATCGACAGCCACGCCGCCGAATGGCCAAGAAATCCCTCTACAATCCATGGCACACAATCCATCGATGATCCGTAATGATTAGTGTAGTGATTCTATTTTGAAGATCTTAAGAAGCTGGCTGGCTGGTCCGAACATCAAACAGGCTAGTCTTGCCAACACCTGAATATTCAGAGCATGTGACAGCACCGGCACTGCAAACCAGTATCAATGCAACCGTTGTAACCCCAAACTAAACTCTTCTGCCAAAAGCATTCTTTCTGCACAAAAAGGGACCTACGTCGGCCTGCAGGTCTCAAAAACATCATCCGGACGAGTCTGTTCAATATCCCCTGTAAAGCTTTGAGCTCTCTTAGTCTTGACGAGGGTGTCTATAGGGAGGGGTATTTTTTTGGTAGTTTTTTTCGTCTTTTTTGGGAATGTGCTTTGTTTTTCGTGGCTTCTGGCTTCTGTGGCTTTTGGCTTTCGTGGTTTCCGTGGTTTTTGGCGTTCGTGGTTTCTGTGGCTTTTGTGGCTTCCGTGGTTTTTGGCGTTCGTGGTTTCTGTGGCTTTTGTGGCTTCCGTGGTTTTTGGCTTTCGTGGCTTCTGTGGTTTTCGTGGCTTTTGGCTTTGGTGGCTTTAGTGGTTTCTGTGGCTTTCGTGGCTTTTGGCTTTCGTGGCTTCTGTGGCTTTTGCGAGCTTTCTTTCTTTCTTTTTTTCTTTCTTTCTTTCTTTCTTATCTATCTATGTATCTATCGATTCATTTATCTGTCTATCTATCTTTCTATCTATCTAGCTATCTAGCACCAGCCACCAAATCTACACTTCAAGGACCACAAAGTCCTGCACCTGCCACGAAATCTGCACTTCAACATCCACAAAGTACTGCACCTGCCACGAAGACTGCACTTCAACATCCACAAAGTCCTGCACCTGCCACAAAAACTGCACTTCAAGGTCCACAAAGTACTGCACCTGCCACGAAACACGAACAACCAAAAAAAATCCCAAACAAAAACTTCAAGGACCACAAAGTCCGGCGCCTGCCACGCACTCTGCACTCCAAGGCCCACAAAGTAGTGACGTAGTGCAGGTACCACAAAATCTGCACTTCAACATCCACAAAGTCCTGCACCTGCCACGAAATCTGCACTTCAAGGTCCACAAAGCACTGCACCTGCCACGAAACACCCCCCAAAAGAAATCAAAAACAAAAACGAAAAATAATCCAAAAATAGATCCGCAGCCTCTATATAGTCACAAATATCACAAACTGTGTAGAGCCTACGAACAAGTGCTCTCAATCGCAGGTTCCGAAGCAACCACTCCCTGGCCTGCGATAGAATCTTGGCAATCTCCGGCTCGAATCCCATGTCCAGCATTCGATCCGCCTCTAGAGCATCAACGCTACTAGGAGCAAGGACGCTACTAGGGACTCCTGGCCTTACTACTAGGAACAAGAAGCTACTAGGAGCAAAGGGCATCGCTACGAACGGAGCAAGGACGCTACTAGTGGTTCACTTTGTGGTTTCCACGTGGTCTCCACTGGCCTCCATGTCTGTGTTGCTCTGTGGATCGGAGAGATCGAATGAGGCCACGAACTGAAAATCCGACCGTGCATGTCCATGATTGTCCATGTATGCAAATCCTTTGCAAGTAAACTCCGGCAGCCATCCACCAACAAACACTTCTATAAACCCATCTGCACTTGATGACCTTCGTTCGCTCCATCCCTCCCATCTTCCGCTCGCCTCATCCAGGACCAGCAGTTGAGCTTGTGACCTCATCGGCTTCGCCGAGGTCCCGGCTGGATCGGTGCGGTTTCCGTTCGTACAGGTTCCGTTTCTACGCTTCTGGTATACGGATTCCGTATGGTCCTGGTTCACCGGACTGTTCATGGAAATTCGAATGAAATTCGCTATCTGGAGATGAGTGATGGAACAGATCGGACAGACCAAACCCACCTGATCTGCAATGAAATGAGCTATTATGCAAATAGGTGTCCAAGAAGGTCTCCAAGTGATTCCAAGTGCGCAAGCCTGGTAGTCGAAGTGGAAGGAGCATGTTGACATTTGACGGTCTGAAAATCAAGATAATCAAGTATTATCGGGAAGACATGGTGGTCCAAATTCCCCTTTTGAGGGTCATATTTTGTTGAGGTGTACTCTCCAAGGGGATCCGCAGGCCAAACACTGACACTGACCACCCCCGTGACCTAAAAAAGAACATTAGAAAATATGAGAAAGCTGCCCCAGACCTGACACTCTTCACCTGATCTATGGTGCCCTAAACCCAAATAAACCCAGTCGACCATCTTTTGGGTGTCCATCCCCAAGGGGAGCTATCCTCCAAAAGACCCTCAGGAAGGGACTCACCGCCTCACCGTCTTCGCCGGACGACACGGAACGAATCGCCACATCGGTGATCCGGCGAAGACCCGAAAAGCGCCGTCTCCGACGCACCGTCTCCGACGCACCGTCTCCGCCCAAGCCGCAGATTGACCTCACCACTGCTCATGAAGTCCTGTAAACGTCCTGGAGTCGCCACCAAGACCTGGCAGAGTGGGCCAGCCTCGACCACGAGTGGACACCAGGGCATTTTGGGGGGGCCATCTCTGAGTGGCGAAAAGCGGAGGTCCGAAAAACCACGAAAACACCGCGCACCAGGCGCCTGGTTCCACTCTCTGGCCCGTTCCGGACTCCACCCGAGACTCAAAACAAAGTAGCGACTCACCTCGCCCATACAACCCTTCATCTTTAAAGAAACCACTGCAGTCGTCAAACCCGTTCATATCCCCCATCTCACACTCTTATCATCTCACTCCCCCCAGAAGTCAAGGCACCATCATTTTGACATCCAACATCTTGAACATCCAAATACATCCAACCCCAAACACTTCTCAGCGCCCAGGCCACCAAACTTTGGGTGCCCCTCCTCCTGCTTCTCCTCCTTCTCCTTCTCTTCCGTCCAACCCCTCGCACCTGTGGCATCTTCTTCTTCAGTTCCTTCCCCTGTGGCCCCTTCGGCGTCCCACCGAAGATCGCCATGGACCGGACCTTCGCCTGGACGGGAGCCGCGACCGCGAAGCAAGCGGACGGGAGCCGGAACGGTGACTCCAGCCGAGTCATACGGGACGAAATCATGTGACAACTTATAGATGAAGATGATGCAAATGGCTAACACACCCCAGCTGACACACTTAGAACTGGGTTCACACTTTCCAGGACTCCAACAACTTCAAGACCTAAGGCCCAAGACGAAAGACATCGCAGGAAAATGGTTTTAAATTGTTCTAATATGTTTTATCACCCGTATTGAAGGTTCGTCCATACCATCCACTTCCATATTAGGGTTTGGAGGGTAAGGCTCAACTCGAACATCTCTAGCATTCTCTAGCTTGGATACTGCAGTTGTGCTGTTTTGGTGCAGCGATTTCAGTGTCCCTGTAACAGTAGGGTGTGTTCTTGATCTGTCACCACTAAATATGTTTCTATAGAATGCCTTCGATCATAGGATTGCAGTGGCAAATGTAGGCCATGCCAAGTGCCGTGCACCGTTGGCTATTTTTCAGAAGGACGTGCCGGGCTCGCCGATGCGAAGCGCTCGCACTCGTTCTGGATCTGTGTGGCCAACTCCCGCGTGGGCGCCAAGACCAAGACCAATGGATGTCCTGGAAGTCGTGGATGCGGTGTTCGTAGTTACCTTCAAGATTAATCGGTGGTCAATCATCTTCCATCTACCTTTATTATCCCAATTACTTCAATCACCATGGGCTCATCCTTCTTTGAGACAGACTTCTTTGGGACTCTCAGGGCTGCAGGCCCCTTCCAGAATGAACTGCACACTGTCTCCTGCCTGGCATCTCCTCATTGCTCTTGGACCACCTCAGCAGCGAAGGTGCCAAGTGAGTAACTTCACCTCACCTGCTTGCCTGAATACCGAGGAGGCTGACTCACTATGAGAGTCACATAAATGTGGCCAGACTTCGAGATGGTTCGGGCACTAGCCCCTCCCCTACGGAGGTTCCGATCATTGTAAAAGCAACAAATATGCAAACGAACTACATAAACACTACTTGCAGCTTGGAGCTATGCCACGATGCCTCGAGCTATTAACTTTCGTCATGTGGGGTTGCATGTAGCTCCCCTTCTAAAATATTTGAGGCCGGGGGGAAGTGCTGTCTTGTTTGCTGAAACACGCCTTCCATCTTTCCAGCTAAGGCAGTGGCCTGCTGATCAGCTTGAAGGCAGGGAGCAAGAAAGCCAACGTCTTTCCGCCTTGGGATGTTCGACTGGTCAGCGACATTGATGGTCCGTGAGCATCTGTGCTTCACGAGACTAAACCTCAAGCAAAAATACGAGCAGAAAGCATAAACCACCATGTGGCGAATGAATGGCAAAGAACACGGAACCTGAGAGTCTTTCTACACCTGATTCGTAGTATCCAATGAATCCAATGGTTGTTCTGGATGTGGAATCCGTCATGGCATTTGCCTGTTTCTTTCCAAGTGCATGGCATCTGGTAGAGCCAAAAGGATTCTCCTTGTTGGCCACCAAACCCAGCGAGACCTTTCTTCCGAGTTCACGAGGGGTCCGAGCTTCGCAGAACAACGTCCACTAGCTAAACCTCCTCGCCCTGAACAAACGTCTCCTCTCCACCGTGGCACTGCCCGTCTTCGCCACGGCGACCAAATCGTGACCCAGCTGGCAAATGGGCCATGCTTGCGCCTCGCGGCAGAAGAAACGCTCTAGAGAACTCAAGAATCCTTTTGCAGTCTTTTGCAAGGTTTGGTGCTAGTCATCTTTGAGGAAACTCTCTGGTCATCTTTGAGAAGGTCAGGGATGGTCAGGGTGCTGTTGCTATTTGTTGCTGTCTCTGGGACGGCCCGAGCCATGCAAGCAACTTCAGAGTTGGACTTGCTCACAGCCTGGACGCTACGAACGTAGCTCCTGGCCTTGCTACTAGGAGCAAGGACGCTACGAACGGGGCTCCTGGCATCGCTACGAACGGAGCGACCGGACGCTACGAGACTTGCTCACAGCCTGGATGGGTGAGGGTGCCGAGAAACTCTCCATCAAAGCATCCTTCAAGCGCCTGGGTGTCGCGCAGGACACAGCGAACGGGTGGAGAACGCGTCGTGTGTCGTGTGGCCCGGTGGAGAACGTTATTCTTTTATACAGATATGTTTTGTGCATCCATCGGAAGCACAAAAGATTAAAGACATCTAGTAGGTGGACCACTGGAAAAACATTTTCTGGACTAGCATCATCTAGCATCTGAATGGTTGAACCACATTGAAGCATGTTGAACCCACCTCTTCCTTGGCTCGATTTTGGAGTTTCCCCACCCGACTGGTAAGTGCTGCTTCTCATGAACACCCAACTAACGAAGGGTGATTCCGATCCAGCTTCCCGGCAACGTGTGCTCTCGAGAACAAGCGACAGAATTCAAGAAGGGACGAAGCCATGTGTTCTTTAGTCATGGAGCTTCCTGTTTTTTGAGTGCGTCGCCACACAGGGCCGCTAAATCTGTGGTCCCAGTTGACGCAGTTGAACAGGGTGTCCCAGTGGACCCCGTTGACCCTGGTTGACCCAGTTGATTTCAACTGGGTCAACTGGGTCCGGAGATTTAGCGTGGCCGCCTGGTCAAGTCGACCAATGCGACCACCACCACTGCTACTACTACGTGTCAAAAAAAAAGGGGGTGAACTGGGTCCGCAGATTTAGGGTGCCCGCCTGGTCAATTCGACCACCACGACTACTACTGCTACTACTACGCGTCGACTGGGTCAAGTGAGTCCATTGGGGTCAACTGGGTGATCTGGATCAACTGGGGTCAACTGGGTCCACTGCTACTACTAGGTTGTGATAGAGGCATTGTCTGAACTGGATCAGGAAAGGTCACCAATCAACCTCAACATGGGATTCCTGGTGTGGAGTGTAGTTTCTATGTGTTAGATTATGCTTTCATACCTCAATATTGTTGTTTATGTGTTTGTTTTCTACCGAGGCTCTGATGGAGGCCAAGTTGCTTGCTCAGAGGTCGTCGATAGATCTAGAGCTATCTCTTGACTCGCAGGAAGAAATGGTCCCCAACTGTTGGCTTCTGAAGTGGACCAAGCTGGATCAACCGAGGTTGTGATGAAGACCGTTGTTGAACTTGAACAAGTAAGGTTCCGAATCAAGCTCTACACGGAATGACTGATGTTGATGTTGGTTTCCATGGATTAGATCATGTCTTTATAGCTCCATGTTGCCACAGATGAGGATGGTTGGTGTTGATCTAAAATACAGGGCACCAACTCAGGTTCCAGAATTCTATGGATGAGTTGACTTAGTTGTCCGTGGTTTAGTGGATAGCCTGTGACGATCGAACACACATCACCTCATCCCTGGTTTGGACCTGGAAAAGATCCACAAGTTGACCACGGGATCCTGACAGAAGCCGAACTCTGACTCTGACCTGGAAAGATCCTCACAGAAGAAAAACACTTCCAAATCCGAAGCAGTTCGCACGAAAGGGGACAATTGGTGATTGAACCTTCCCGTGTCTGAAAAGTCCAGATCATCGTTACAACTCCAAATTTAGCTCCACGCATGCCATTCGTTGGTTTTTTTTTTGACGGCCGTCTGTCCATGCAGTGGCTACGCCTGTTTCACGTGGGGTGCCCAATGGAAATACAAAACCGATTAACTTGATTAAAAAAAGGGTTTGTCCAAGCTCAACGCGGGAACCCTGGTGTTGAGCTTAATTTTTACTGTTCAAGCAGCCTTATTTTACACCGAGCACTAGTAGGGTTTCGTCTTTGATCGAGCATGCTCAGTAGTAGTCGTTGCCAGACCTTGAAGCCAGTGGACCCAAGTTGACCCATAAATAGTGGTGGTGGACCCAGCTGACCCAGTTGAACTGAGGGTTAGTTGACTCGGTTGACCCAGGCCGTTGACCCAGTTGACCCCAGTTGACGCAGTAGTAGAAGATCGTCGTCGTCGTCGTCGTCGTCGTCGTCGTCGTCGTCGTCGTCGTCGTCGTCGTCGTCGTCGTCGTCGTCGTCGTCGTCGTCGTCGTCGTCGTCGT